CTTGCACTTGGGGCATAGGAATAGGTGTCATAAGTACAGGTTAGGGGACAAGTGGCTGGAGAGCAGCACTTGTGAAAGGGACCTCGGGGTGCTGGTTGACTGCAGGCTAAACATGAGTCAGCAGTGTGATGCGGTGGTCAAAAGGGGCAAACGCCACCCTTGGTCGCATAGCCAGAAGTGTGGCTTCTAGATCAAGAGAGGTATTACTACCACTCTACATGACTCTAGTGCCCCCGCAACTGGAATACTGTGTTCAGTTTTGGGCCCCTCATTACAGAAAGGATATAGTCAGGTTGGAGTCAGTGCAGCGTAGGGCCACAAGGTTGGTGGCCGGTTTGCAGGGGATGTCGCATGAGGCGAGACTGAGGGAACTGGGTCTCTTCAGCCTGGAGAAGAGGAGACTCAGAGGGGATCTGTTGGCAACATACAGGTATGTGAGGGGACGTCACATGGAGACAGGTAGAGACTTGTTCTCCCCTTCAGAGGAAGGCAGGATGCACTCCAACGGAGCAAAGCTCAGGGAGCCAAGGTTCCATTTGGATGCCAGGAAGCACTTCCTGACAGTCCGGACCCCGAGGGTGTGGAATGGGCTTCCACAAGAGGTGGTTGAGGCCCCATTGGTGCGGGTGTTCAAGGATAGGCTGGACGTCCACATGGTGGGCATGTCGTGAGTGGAGCTGGCTGGCACCGGAGGTCAGACTAGATGGTCCGGGAGGCCCCTTCTGACTCGATCTGTTTCTCTGTTTCTAAATCGTTAGGAAAAGTGTGGGGCATCCTATACATTGGGGCGTGTTAAAGATGGAAAAATACAGTAGGTTGTTTCTTGCTACCTTGCAGCTGCAGGATAGAGTAATGCTTTGGGCTCTCTAGCAAGCTGGAAGATGCCCCTGTGCTTGTTAAGAACCACTGCTGAATCTAAATTAGGGACCTCTCCTCCACACTCTTTCCTTTCAGGAACCCTGGGACTCCTCTCCCAACTTGGCTTCTATGGCTTGTAGGGCCAGGTGGCAGTTTCCAAGCAAGCCCTCCAACTGGGCAGTTCGTCATTCCCAACACCATGTCATGGGGTCAGATACCAGGCAAGGCAATAATTTGGATAAACTTTGCGTTGGAAGGCTCTTTGATAGCTAAAGTTACACGTGTTCTTTTGAATTATCTACTCATCTCTTGCAACCTAAAACAACCTCAACGAAAATGGATTCTCTGTGTCCTCTTGGCAGCTTAGAGGCTAATAGTACAACATTGGAAAGGTAAATGGTCACCTGCAGTAACACAATTGATTTAATGAAATGTTCAATTTTTATTTATTTTAACGTTATTTAAAATGTGTCTAGACTGTTCCATTACAGAAATCTCGGGATGGTTTAACACTACAAAATTTGAAAAATTTAAAACACAGCCTCTAAAAGTTAAAACACCATGGGTGGCATGTAGGCAGAACCTACAAACAGATACATACATGGATATTTGGGGAAGATTTGCCAAAGTATATCCATAATTATTGTTAATTATAATAATCACTTACAAGTTAACATATAGAGATGCACAAGCTAAGTGGAATTAGTGCTGGACATTCAGCTTGAAGCCCAAGGAATGCATAGAGCCCACTGGATTATCGACTTTGCATTCATAGATGCCGGCATCTTTGGAAGTCACATTCTGGATCCTCAATGTGGAGGCTGGAGAGATCAGCCACTCCCGATCTTTGTACCATGCGTACTGTAACTCCTTGGGGTTTGCTGGTCCCACATCACATCTCAGCTGCACAGGAGAGGCTTCTTCGATCTCCCCTGCTGGCATCTGCACAATTTTCACGTCCTTGGGAGCAACTGCAGGAAGAGAGGACACTAAGAAGAATATCACGTGGGGTGTCCCCCCCCTTTTGCTCCGGGCTGATGCGACTGCAGTAAAGCCCAGTGGACCAGATCAGAATTTCACGGATCGGTTCCAGAGGCACGTGCCTGTACGATGCTGTGGAACCTGCTCTGACCACATTTCCGAGATTTTGGGGTGCTTTTCATTCTTGCCCAGTCATTAGATGCTGCTAATTTCAGGCAGATGTGATCTACCTTTGGTCCCAATTCAACAATTCACACTCCTGAACATGCTCAAATTGGGACCCCCATGCTCAGCGAGCAGCCACCTCTGTTTACTTGTGGGTCTGTACCCTGTGGTCTTTCACAGATGCAGATCACAGGCAGCTCTTTCCCCTGTTATGAGGATGGGAAGGACATCTCACCTGTTGGGTTTCAGTCTGTGCTTCAGTCTGGTTTCAATGGGGGGTGGGGTGGGTTGGCCATTATGCTGTGCGCACAATGAGTGGGGAGCTGTTCTCTGGGGAGGTGGCCTGCCGACAAAGGCACAATGCAACTGCACACCCAATTTCTTCAGCAAGCATCACGTGAGCACATCCTGCCTGGGCCAAGCCGTCCCTCCCAATCACTTACCCTCTCTGCAGAATGCAGGCAAGCAACTCCGATCACGGCAAGAGCAGCACCAAAGCCAATGGCGGTGTGCTTCAGCATGGCGGTTCTGCTGTCTGCGTATGCAAAAAGAGAGCGTCACAGTTTGCATGGTCTAATGGAGAAGAGGCCTCTTCCTGAGCCCAAGATGGCTAGCACTGGTTCAGTGGGCTTGGTCGCCCACTGCACCCCACCGGCAGGACCACAGCCCCCCTCCGCCATCTCCACGTGAAAGCCTCCATGGTAGTCCCTTCATCTTGATGAACCTGGCTCTACTCCAAGAAAGCTTTTGTGAGACTCAATCTGCTAGTCCTGAGGGGCTTGAGCTGGCTCTTCGACACATGGACACAAGGACATAGGAAAGGCCATGCAATGGGAGATGAAAGGTCCATCAGGGTCAGCATTCTGATCACCTCGAGGTTAACCAGCTGCCTGCTGGAAATCTGCAAGTCGAACCTCAAGCACATGCTCCCCAGCACTTGGTATACTTAGGCGTGCTGCCTCAGATGCGGGAGGTAGCACAGAACCAGTCAGGACTGCTGCCCTTCGACTGCCTTCTCTCCCACGGATTGGCCCAGCCTGCTTTTAAGGCCCTCCAACTGCATGGCCATCTCCCTGCCTTGCCAAACTGGATCCCATAGCTGGACGATGTGGTGGGTGCTCCTTGTATCTGTCCTGATTCAGCTTCATGGAATGATCCTGGGTTCAGGTATTGGCGGAGAGGGAGGGAAATGGTTCCCTACCTACTCTCTTCAGAACACGCTTACTCTTGCACACCTCCAGTAGGTCTCCCTGTATTGGCCAGTTCTCTCAGCCAAGCAGCTCCACTCCTTCCTCAAGAGGGATCACCCCAGCAACTTGGTAATTTCTGTTGCCTTTTCTGCATTTCCCCAGCTCTACAATTTCAGTTTCCAGTCCTGAGAGTGGAACAGCACGTGGTCTAATCTTGGCAGCCATATTTTCCATCCTTTCCCAATTCTGCCTAACCTGGAGCTTGCCTTCTTCACAGCAGCCAAACCTGGGTCGACCTTTGCATCGCAGCCCCAAGACCTCACTGCGGCCCATCCTGCGCTCCACGGCATTGCTGTGCCAGTGGATGGAGCGGATGCATGGTGTGCCCTCAGGCGCCAGAGGAGAACGCCCCCCCTCCCGGCACGCCCACCCCCTTCGCCCACCAAGGCGTTCAAAGGCGTTACTCACACAACACATTCACCTCGACTCGGCCCGATAAAGTGCAGCCAGCCAAATTGCATGCACCACATCTGTAAAAGCGGCTGCTTTCGCGGGAGGCAGAGAAGCTGAGAAGTGGCTTGTCGTACTTGAAAGGGGTCTCCGATCCTGCTGCTTCTTGCTTATACCACCTGTACCAGCAGAAACTTGGATTACTGCTACCCACAGAGCAGTTGAGTGTAACGGTGTTTCCTTCCTTTATTGGAAGAGTGCTGTGAAGAGCAAGCTGGACATGCTTGGGAGGATCTGGAAAACAGATCAATTCACATCTTTGCCAAAATGACTCTCGATGATTCAGCAGCATTAAGTGAACGTAAGCAGGGACTGGGCAGAATTACTGCTCATTGTGCACATACACAGAAAGGAGGGAGGGAGGGAAAAGGACAGACAATACATTAATACACAAGGGGATTTGTGCTGGGTATTCTCCACAGCTGTGTTCCACCAAGAGCTGACATTTATATACACTGCAACTAGAAGCACGTATACCTCAGTAGTTATTAGCTACGGTTTGCTCAGAGATGATCTGCAGTTCAGTCCCTGGCATCATCAGCTGAGACTGTGTCAAGAAGAAGATCTGGGAAGATGTTGGCATGATGCCGCTGAGCAGCCTTTCCTGAGCTGGTACATGCCCCCAGATGGCTGGACTGCCACTCCCATAGCCTTCCAGACACGTGGAGGGCACCATGCTGGGGGAGGATGGAAGAGATGGTTTTGGCCTAGTGAACCTGCCTTTGAAAGTCAGGTGGTTGCACACTCCTGCTCACCTGCAGAAGCTGCTTCTCAGAGGAGGCAAGGAACACTCTTTTGGGGTCTGCCAGCAGCTGATCCATCACATGCCACGGCTGCTATTACACCATCAGCAATGCTGGGGAGC